ACACCTCTTTTGTCTGATAAAAAATTTTTTTGCACTATATAGTTTTAAAATAATTGTAAAATTAGCTAATACTACTATCTAATAAATACTTAAATTAAAATTCAGAATTGCCTTTTTAGATTTTTATAGAGAAATATAAACTTTGACACATGGTTATACAAATATAAATTTTTTTGTTATCACAAATTTAATATTTAGTTTTGATTAACTTATCAAAATAATAAGCTATCATAATAACAACTTTAGCAATATAGTTTTTCTATTCTTTTAATTTAAAAGCAGTTAGTCAATATTTTTTGATCAAAAGATAATCATTTGTTGCAAACCAGAAATCCTTTTAACTTTTTTCTAAAATAAATAAATAAAATAAATAAATAAAATAAATAAGTAAAATAAATAAATAAAAATAAACAAATATACAAAAACAAACAGATACAGAAAAACCAACTCTTCTTGCTGATCACTTATATACAAACAAGCAGAAAGCAAAAGCAGCTCAACCTCAACAAAGGCCATAGTAAATATCTAACAAGACCTTAAGAAAAAAGGAAGAGCAACAAAAACAACAAATATCCAGCTTAAAAACAAATAAGATTAAACCTGCAACAAGAAAGATATTCAAAAAATATATAATTTTTGAAGAAATTTTTAGCAAAAAGTGGGTGAACTATTTGACTCTGAATACAGATCACTAACAAACAAACAAAATGTATAAACAAGAGCAGACAAGTAAGAAAAGCACTAAACAAGGTCTTTCAGAACTAGCAAAAAAAGGCCAAGATGACTAAATTAAACCCTGAGCCTATTAACTACATGGTAAGTATGAGCCTAAAAGAAATAACAAGAGAAGAAAACAAGATAAAAATCATTAAAAAGACCCCACAAATCGAATTAACAGTAATAGAGAAAAAATAAAACCAAGAAAAAAAGGTGAAAAGTGAAACACCAAGTTAAATAAAAGATACTAGAATAGATAGCATACAACAACAAATGCTGAGATTAGAGATAACAGCCAAGCAGCAAAAGCAAATATTAGTTAAACAAGAAGAGATTATTTTGTCTTCAAATAAAGATTATGAAAAAAAAAAAACAGAAAAAAAGCACAAGACCAATAGAGAGATGCAAGTAGAGTACAACACAATAGAGATCTATTAAGAACTACAAGACAATACAGAAGCAAGCACAAGCATACAAAAGATCCAAAAGGAAGACTTAATAATTGCAGCAATTCTACTAAGCCAAAGCATGTAGATATCAAGTAAAAAACTATGCAGTAATATAGGCAAATACAAGACCAAAATATCAGTATATAATGTACTAGAAGACAATAAAGAGCAATATATCAAAATGATAGAAGGAATACTAGCTAGCAACAGATATCTCAAAAAAGTCAAAGAGATATTTAAGAACTATAATAAATAAGTAGAAGTTACTTTTGACTATAAAACAAGAAGAAAAGAAGCAATAGAAAAAATAGAAAAAAAAAATCAAAAGTAGTTTAATGATACTAGAAAAAATACAACAACCAAAAAGAGAAAACAATATTGCTTATTAAACTCAAATATAGATAGATCAAAGAAGACAGACAAAGGAAAGAGATACAAAAAACAAAAAGAAGAGTTTAGAAAGATCACTACTACAGAAACAGAAAACAAAAAATCAAGTACAGAAGAAGATAATAAAGAAATTTGTATATCACAATATAGGATCTACTAAAAGAAATAAATTAGCTAGAAGTATAGCATGTTTGCAAGAAGCTAGGTAAGATAGAAGAAATACAAATCAAAATGAGTTTTTCAAAGTGCTGGCAGTACTAAAAATCAGAAAAAAGCTAAACAAAAAAGTTTTCTAGGCAATTTCAATTGGAGATAAAAAGCTGGTGAGAGTTACAAAGAATATAGAAGACTTCAAGAAAAGAGATAGACAAAGTAACATAATAGCAAAATAAAGAGAAATACCAATGAGTTCATCAGAGGTCCTATTACTTAAGCTATTTTATTAATAAATCATTGTGTGATTGCTTTGTTTTTTTTAAGTTTATTTATATTTAAAATTTCTAATTTTAAACTACTATCTTGTATAAATATTTGTATAATCTAACTTCTAAAAATTATTAAATATAAATGTTTTTTATACTTATTTATTCTATACTTAAATAAATTTTTTATTTGAAAACACTTATTATTATTTTTTATATAATAAAAATTTTTTAATAGATGATTGTTAATTATCTAGAAAACTATACCTTAAACTGTCTATTTTAGCAAACAAATTTGTCTGCTAAAATAGTTGAATGAAGTAGAATATTAAAAAATTTTTTTTTATAAAAATCTTTATTCTAACTAGTTATGATGACTCTTAAAGCCCAAACCACATATTACACTCAATTGCCACAGTGTAGTGTACTTGAAATAGTTTAAACAAAGGGCATAGATTTGCACAATGGCTGTAAAATATGCTATTTTATCTGAACTTTTTGAGTCACATTATTTTCCTCACATTGCCTGAAAAATCTGCTCTGTAATGTTGGTTGTGAAGAATCTTTGACCAACTTTAATATCATATTATAAAAGGTACCTCCACAGGACAATCGTGATAATTGTTATGTAAAATCACATAAAGGTGCTTTGTTACTATTAAATTTGACTGTAAAGACTATATGATGATCAACCATATTTAGTTGATTTTTGGGGCAGTGCTAAGGAATTTTTACAAGATAAAAATTATATGACATCTAGCATGTTGTGTACTTTTATTCTAGCTTAGAGAATATAGAGGTGTCTTAATAAAATTTAGAACAATTGTACAAAAATTGGTCAAAAAATATTTTAGCAGACAAATTTGTCTGCTAGATGGTTTAAGAGATATAATGCAGATTATACAAAATTTATCTATAAATTACAGTCAAACCCCTCTATAGTCACATCTTTGGGATACAAAAAATCATGATTATAAAGAGATATAACTAATATAGAGATATTTTCTATATAGTTATAAATAATTGGTAAAAATAAATTTGTAATTATACCAATTTTGTAACTATAGAGGAGGTGACTATAGATAGGTTTGAATGTATATATATAAAATCTTCAAATAGTAATTATAAAAATATAATCAACTCTTCCCAACGATTCTCTGGGAATAAAAAAATTAAACTACAAAAAAATGCTATAGGAAGGTCCAAGAATATACTATTTGTAGTCTTGTCTTTGAGTAAACAGTTGTCAACAAAGTCTGTAGATGTGAAATACTAAGAAGCAGGCATAACTTGGGCGGTTTTTCTTGAAGTCAAGCTTTGCCAAATGGTAGACTTCTCAAGATATTTGGCATCCAAACCAGAAAGATATTCTGTGAACTGAACTTACCTCTGAACAAGTTGCTGTCAACGAAGCTTAAAAGATATAAAATATTGAGAAGCAGGCGTAATTTGAGTAGTTTTTCTTGGGGTCAAGTTTTGTGCTTAGAATAGATCCCTAGAATATTTGGCATCTAAACTAGAAGGTTTATTCTACAAGCAAGAGTAGACCGGCTCTCGCTACAATAGTATAAGCTTGAAAATACAACTATACAACTGTAAAACTTACAGAAAAACCTCACATACTCTTGTTGACTCCCACTTTTTTTTAGAAAAAAAATTGTAAAAAGTGGCAATTCAACTTACTCCTTCAAAAAATCGACAAATTGTTTATTTACCAGATCAGGCAGCATTGTTTACATTGATTTCCTGTTACAACAAACATGTAGATGCAGGGATGTAGATAACTAGATTATGTGCTCAAATATAGCAATCTGGACAAATGATGCCCAAGCCCAACAGTGTAAATTTTTGACTTCTCTATGGTGCTAATGTTGAAGAAGCTTTTCTTTTTTTTTATTTTTTTTAGATTTTAAGTTTAGACATGTAGAGAATAGTTTAGATAGTAGTATGTAATTTTTAAAGAGCCTGATACAGACTTATAATTGTAACCATCTGGTATCATTTAGTTTAGTTTTTCTCATTCTTCTTTTTTCTTCTTTTATTTCATTTATTTGTTTTTTTACGTATCCCCTATACCTCTGTGTTTCTTTTATAAAAAATTTTTTCTTTTTCTTTCACTTCCCTACAAGAAGATATTATCAGATTGATGATATCCTATTGTAGGGCAGTGGTTAGATGAACCTCAGGTTAGAGTATTATCTTAATTGATTGTACCTTACTAGTGCGGTTAGGTTACCTGTAGATGCATATAGATAATCAGTTAGATTATACAAAACAACCGCAAAATATCAGATCTGCATATTTAATATTATGATGTTTCTACAGATTTGGTTTTTATTAAATAAAAATACTGGTGTGATCTGCCTAAGTAAAAAAAAAAAAAGTAAATATAAAAATATTATATCTAAGTAAATTACCTTGGGCTCTAAGTAAAATTATAAAGCTTATCAAGCAAGAAAATTAGCCTAGTGGTTTCTAAGAAATTCTTAAAAACATTTTACTGATACTGGCATAAAATTTCTTTAAAAAAAGATTTTTTAAATAAATTTTATATATTAGCAAAATATTTTTGGGAATTTCTCAAGAACTATTAAACCAATTTTATTACACCTACTACTATTGGATATATCTTAGAGCTCCAAGAATGATTTACTTAGCAAAAAAAGTTTAAATGTAGCATCTTCACATTTAACTCAATAGTAAAATTACTTATAAATTTGCTAATCCTCTTCAGATAACAGATGGATTGTGATAATATTATCAAAATTATTAATTTTTTAATACTTTGATTTTTAACAAAAATTAATCAGATTAACAGTTAAAAGAATAGGCATTTTGTGAGTGACGCTATAATTGCTAGTCATATTTATTTATTTTTAAACATTTTTTATTTAAGCAAAACCATTTCAACTTATCAATAATTTGTAATAAAAGCATTATAAAATTACCAATTATTAGTAATTTTATTACATTGCTTGCAACAGTATACCAATTATTAGCTATAAATAATAATCATAATTTATCAAAGGCTAAGAATGGTTCTTTTATGATAACTGGCTAAGGAAGGTTCGGTAGACGGTACAAATTTTCCGTTAAATTCGGTGGGAAAGTTAGTAATCAAACGCCAAACATAGTGTCCTGTATCTTCAGGATGGAATGTTTTTTCACGTAATTCTTCTTTACTATATTTGTTTAGATGTTCTTTTGAAATGATAATTAATTATCAAATGTTAAATATGTAACATTAGTTATTTAAAATGAAACTAATTTAAACTAACCAATTTTTTTATAATTAGCTTCCATAGTCTCAGTGTATACAGGTCCTGGACAAATCGCAATTGTTTGAATTTCTTTTTCTTCTTCAGCCAAACATGAGGTAATCATATTTAAGGCAGCCTTCGAACTTGACACAGTTTTATAAACGTTTGAACTGATGTAAATATATTAATTTTGGGTTAAATTTATGTTACACATACGTACCTGCAATAAGCTGAAGATCCCACCATAGGAAAAATACTCGCGGCACTACTTATATTTATAATCTTCCCGTTTACTTTGTTTAAATGAGGCAAGGCCGTTTGAGTCCAATACAAAGCAGTGAAAATGTTGACTTCGTAAGACCTAAAAAATTTAATTTGTTATGAGCAAATGTCAAATTTTTAACGTTCATGAATCCTTTTACCTTATAAATTTATTGAGATCTGTGTTTGAGATGCGATCACCAACAGTGCAATCACTAAAAATAAATAATTTAGATTAACAATATTGACATTATGTACTACAACCACTCATAAATGAACTTACGCAACATTATTAATAAGAACGTCGATACGGCCGCAAAGTTCAATAGCTTTT